TTGCTAGGAAAGTAGATCTTAAAAGCTCTCATTACAAGAAAAAAATTTGTAACTATGTGTGGTGATGGATGTTAGCTAGACTTATTGTGGTGACCATTTTGCAATGTATACAAATATAGAATCATTATGTTGCACATCTAAAATTAATATAATGTTGTATGTCAATAATACCCTAATTTTTAAAAAAGAAAGAAAAAAATATATATAGCACAAGCATGGATTTATGTCCTTCTGCTTCCATTTTCCTCTTTTCCATAGACCCAAAATTGGGGGGAACAATGAAAAAGAATTTCCACTTAGATACAAAGAATCAAAAACAAATCAATACAAAATCTGCTGTTGCCCCCTTCACTTAGTATTTCCCAGGCATTCCAGATATAAAACCAGCTGCTCTCACATTGGATCTCAGAGAATTAAGAGGGAATTGGATACTGTCTTAAGTGCTGACAAACTGATTCCTTTTTTTTGTATAGAAAACCTTTAAAATTTTGTATAAATGAAATAAACATATTTTTTATTGTTTGATTTGAGCATTGAATTTCATAGGTATTTAGTGCGTATTTCACCAAAGTGGCAACTGAGAACTATGAAAGACTAAGATCTTGAACGCCATCTTAACTTGCCTGGTTCTGAGAAAGAGGAGGTTCACATGCCTCTACCAAACTTGTCCTGATATTTTTAAATTATAAATTTAATATAAAAATTATAGATTAAAAATAGATTAATTAAAATAAATTTACATATTTTTAGTACCCTGTGGCCATATTCCTCTCACTTAAGGACTCTAAGCTGAGGATTGCTATGCTATTTAGAAAGTTCCCTTAATAAGGAAAGGTGGCAGCTGGCAGCCTTATGAAGGACAGATTGGAAAGAGACAAAGATGGAGTCAGGGAGACCAGTCCATTTTGGAGATGATGGAGCAGTAGCTGAGGGTCTGAGGAGAAAGAGACAGATTCAAGAGATTTAAAAAATAGACATGATAGGATTTTACTAATTGAGAGTAGAAGTTAAAAGGGGAAGATTTGAATAAGAAGCTAGGGATGATACTCAGATTTCTAGCTTGTGTGGTTGGGTGGATCATGGTATCATCCAAGACAAGAGCCCAGGAGGAGCAGGTATGGGAGGAAGAGGAAGACTTTGAATTAGGACATGTGGAATTTGATATGTCTGTGTGATTATCAAGCGGAAATGTCCATAAGGAAGTTACTGTCCTAGGACTCAAAGAGCTCTGGGATGTCTGGGCTCTCCTGGCAGATATCTTAGGGAATCATCAGATCATAGGTGGAAGTTGGAGCAATGGATTGCATGGACTCACCAAGGGAAAGTGTAAATGAACTAGAGAGGAAGGGTAAAGATAGAGCCTGTCGGGGCTGGCACCGTGATCTAGTGGTTAAGTTCAGCATGCTCTGCTTTGGTGGCCTGGTTCAGCTGCCAAGTGTGGACCTACACGACTTGTTGGCAGCCATGCTGTGGCAGTGACCCACGTACAAAGCAGAAGAAGAATGGCATAGATGTCAGCTCAGGGCAAATCTTCCTCAAGCGAAAAAACCAAACCAAAACAAAACAAAAGCTAGAGCCCTAGAGAACATAAGAATTTCAAAAGGGTTTGAAAGAGAAGACTAAGAAGAAATCATCAAAGGTAGGTGGGGAGCCAGGAGAAAGTGATGTCACAGGTGCCAAGGAAGAAGAGGGGACTTAAGAAGGAGGTATGGTCAGTGGTTAATGACACAGAGACATCATGTACATCAAAGTCTAAGAATTCCATATTGGATTGGGTAATATGGATGTCACCTTTGCCTTCAGCCTTCACTGTTTGAGTGGAGATGGAAGCCAGAGTGAAGTGGGTAAAGTAGTGAATGGGAGGGTAGTAAAGAAGCAGTGATGGTTTCGTAGACTGATCTTTGAAGAAGGTTGTCTGTGAAGGGAAAGAGGGAATGTTTGTGTAGAAGATAGAAGGCATGTTTTCTCCTAAAAGAGGAAAAGCTTGAGCATGATAATAGGCTAAGGAAAGAAAGCCATAGAGGGGGAGGGATAGAGGATACAGCATAGAATGGATAAATGAAAAGACTAAAGCATCAAAGGAAATAAGAAAGGTTGGTATCCAAAGTAGCTTCAATCAAGTGGTGGAACACCCTCTCAAGTGAGATGGCAGGAGGGGAGGTGCGGTGGATAAAGTCTATAGTTGGGTAGAGGGAGGGCAAGAGATTGAGGGAATTTCCATCTGATGACGATTTGTAGGGAGGGGTCATGAGGAGAGTGGTAAAAGTTTGGAAGCACCATTTAGAAATTTAGGGTGGAGGTGGCTATTTAAAGACACAAAGGATGACTGCACAGCGTTGTGAAGGATCTCTCTGTGGTTGGAGGTCATAAATTTACGGTTGTGCTAATCTGCATTGGATGTGCTGATTGCTTGGTTACAGGGGCAAGGAAGATGGGGCTGGAGTTATGACTGGATTGACCCAGGCACTGAAGCCATAAGGCTTTAAAGGCTCTAGATGAGGGAGACAATTGTCTAAGGTCCTACAGCTAACAGGAGTAGAGGTAGATTTGAATATAAATTTGACTCACTTGATACTCTTAGCTGCACTATGAGGCTAGGGTGCTGAGTAGGTCAACTATATTGACAGGGAAACTGCCTAGGTCAATGACAGGCCTTGAAATGAAGACAAAGCCTAAGATCCAGATGCCAAAGTTCTTGATGGATGTTTTATGGTTAAACACTTAATAAATATCTACTGTTCTACTGTTGAGTTAGGCTTTCAACCATCAAATATCACCTTTTATTCGATGATGTTAGACATCCTTTTAAACTATTATTTTTATTTTGCAAATTAAAACATATCTATAGAGAAGCTAGTAGGACTCATAATTAAAAAATTGAATGTAATGCAAATTAAAACAACAGTGAGATACCACTATATACCTATTAGAACAGCCACAATCCAAACACTGATGACACCAAATGCTGGCAAAAATGTGGAGCAACAGAAACTCTTATACATTGCTGGTGGGAATGCAAAATGGTACAATTACTTTGAAAGACAGTTTGGCAGTTTCTTACAAAAATTGGCATACTCTTACCATACAATCCGGTAATCCAGCTCCTTGGTATTTTACCCAAAGGAGTTGAAAATTTATTTCCACACAAAAACCTGAACATGGATGTTTATAGCAGCTTGATTTGTAATTGCCAAGACTTGGAAGCAACCAAGATGTTTTTAGTAGGTGAATGGATAAATAAACTGTGGTACATCTAGACAATAGACTATTATTCAGTGCTAAAAAGAAATGAGCTATCAAACCAGGAAAAGACATGGAGGAATCCTAAGTGTGTATTAGTAAGTGAAAGAAGCCAATCTTAGAAAGTTACATTCTGTATGATTCCAATTATGTGACGTTTTGGAAAAGGCAAAACTATGGAGACAGTGAAATGATCATTTGTTGCCAAGGGCTGGGGGAGGGGGAGGGGAAAGGATGAACAGACAGAGCACAGAGGATTTTTTGGCCAGTGAAAAACTTGGTATGATATTATAACGATGGATATATGTCGTTATACATTTGTCCAAACCCATGGAACGTACAGCACCAAGAAGGGGAACCCTAATGTAAACTATGGACTTTGGATGATTATAATGTGTTGATGTAGGTTCATCAGTTGTAAGAAATGTACCCCTCTGGTGGGGGATGTTGATGTTGGAGGAGGCTATGCATGTGTGGGGAGAGACGGCATATAGGAAATCTCTGTACTTTCCTCAAAATTTTGCTGTGAACCTAAAACTCCTTTAAAAAAATAAAATCTTCTAAAAAATTAAATATGTCTTCTACCATCTTGAAAACTAATTTTGTTCTCTTTGCGAACAAATTTAACATTGGATAGGATTGAGAGTAAGGGTGGTGGAAAATGAGTAAAGCAGGTGGTAAAGTGTGAATGAGGGGACTTCTTGGGGTGGGAGATAAACTTGGGGAAATATGCAGAGATTGATGTAAGTTTTCAAGTGTTTCTTTACTTTCTTTTCATGTAGCAGTTTTATTCAAGGGATAATATGGTAGAAAAACTTCTTCTCCAAATATCTCCTCCAAAATCTTTTGATAAAAGTCTGCACATACCTCCAGGGTAGTAGCAGAAGAAAAGCAAAGTGCTGCTAACATGGTAGTTTGCCGCAACTGACTGGAGGTCAGATGGTAGGTGATCCCAGCCACTTTCCTATGTCAGGGAGACAAATTATACAGAGAATGTGTTTGCTTTCCTGAGTCAACTGGCAACCAGACAGTATTGCCAGAAAGCGAGGCCTTTTGGGACAGTCATAGGTTTTCCAGAGGAGGTTATAGTTCTTCTCTCTGTGCATGGAGTCAGTTTAGAAAAAACAGAACCACACCTCACCATACCACATCTTACCTCACCTTCCCATCACACCACACTCACCATACCACACCTCATCTCTAACACTCCTCACACCTCACCACAGCTCACCACACCTCACTATAACTCACCATACCACACCTCACCTCAGAACACCTCCCCACGCCTTACCACACCTTACACCCCCCTGGGAGAAGGCAGCCTGCATGCTGAGATGGCACTTGGAAGAGTGACTTCAGCAGCACTCAGGCAAGCCATGGCGTCAGCAGGCAGAAAGGAGTTGAAGCAATCACAGTAAACAGTAGTCAAATGTGGCACAAATTATGCGATTATAGAAAAGATGCAGGACAAAGTGTATACCAGAGGGAAGGACCAAAAAGCAGCATGCGTAAAACGAGAATGGAAGGGGAAAACAGAGAGACAAAGTGAATTTATTAAAAAAAACTCTGTCGTAGGATGAAGAATGCCCTGGAGCTAGTGGCAGGAAATGATGCTGTGAGTTTTTCTCTTAAGGCACCTACCTAAAAGGATAGAGGTAATGCAAGTATGCAATGACTTTAACAAGATCTACATCAAAAAAGTAATCCAAGAGGATAAAACAAGACACAAAGGACTTGAGACTTTAAGTAGTGGAGTCATATATCACAATTAGTTGGATATATTTCATTTAATAAATTGGTTACGATTCTTTCCATGTTATCTTTATTAAATTGTTTTAAAGTCTTCTTTTCCTTTTAAAATTCACCATTTCAGAACACTAACACAGTATTGTTTGATTCTGAAATTTCTGATTCCAGATGGATTCTCCCAACCCTCTGTACAGTCACCAATGTGGTTTCAGATGGAGAGCAGATATCTGAGCGCATCTACGTGTGCTTCTGTAAACCTGGGCAGAGAAAAGAAAGGAGCTGAGAGCTATTGCGTTAAACTCAGAATAGTGATGATTTACAATAGCATCTTCTTTTGTCAAATGGATATTTAGGGGAAAATCTATTTTGTGCTGCCAAACAATTTAGTAATTGAATTAGGAAACCGATTCCAAGTCATTGAGTTTTGATTCCACATTCTTTTCAGTTGATACTAGTTATAATTTTTAGAAGAGGAATCAAGATGAAGCGTGTGCTGTGACAGTCATCTCAGACTTTTAGAGATATATTACTTTAGAGATCTAGTCCCACCTTTTAAAGGAAGCTGAGAAGTGACTTCCCATGGTGGCAGGAGCAAGACCAGACCTGGGTCTCTTGATTTCCTTATATCAGTATTTGATAAATACTGTATAAATGGATCAGTATTTGATATAATGAAATCAGACTCTGAGACAGATTTGCATGCAGGAAATATATTGGGAAGTGCCCTGGGGGTCTATCCCTGTGGAGGAGTAGAGGAGATAGGGTTGGGCAGAAGGAGTGATGTAATTGCAACAAAGTTCAAGTGTTCCCACAGGGTGCTCTGGAGCTGAAAAGGCTCTTCTGAGTTGCCCTGCCTCAAGGCAAGGGCCTGGGGTCTCTAGTACTTCTTCCTAATCATGCAGTCATGGGATGCAGGCTGCTCTCAGTGGGGGAGCATGACCCTAGGGGGGACAGCAGTCTTTGGCTGAGGGCAATTCAAGAGGGACTTCCCTGCAGGCTTTGGGTCACGTCACTCCCAGTAGCTGGAGAAGTGAGAGCCACAGTGCTGCATAAGAACGTGTTACAGCCTCCACCACGATACCGAACACTAGCTTGATAATGGTGCGTTCACATATGTCCACTTGATTTCTCCCACTGGTTAACAAGACCCTTGTTGACAAATCCCTGATTTATATCAGGCTCAAAAGAAGCATAACATGTAGCATATTGCTAAAACGCTATCAAACTCAATAATATTTATTGACAGATAAAAATCAAAGAAATTAATTATAGTATTAACTGTGGTTCAAAGAAGGTAACTTATATAATGACATGTTTTTCCCTGGATTAAAGCTATATATTTTGAAACTAGGAATGTGGTTTATCACGTTAAGTGCATTAAAACATCTTTGCTTTTTGACTGGCTGTTAACCTACATGATTGGGGGGCAGAAAAAGCAATTAGAAACCAACATGGTATGTTAAGATAAAAGAACATGAGGTAAGCCCGCAGATACAACGTTGATGAAGGCCTCCCTGTTGTCCTAATTAATTGCACAGAAGCCAAAGCAGGAAAACCCTGCTAACTTCTAACTTAGCTCGATGTCCTTTTTCATTTGTGTCACCAAGGGGTACCAAGTGAATAAGTCAATATCCTTGCAGCACACACTTAAAAACGCTGAACTTTTTATCTCCCTAATAATTTCTTTTTTCGTTAAGAAATAGGATCAAAGAGAATCTTCATATTTAAAGCAAGATGAAGACAAAGTCAGAAGGCTGTAACACTAAAATGTAAGACATTGTATGTCACTTATTAAACATGTGGGTTTGTGTTGAATACAAACAGGTATTCTCATACTCTGTGCCTCTGTGCGTGTGCACAAAATAGCTTTGATCTACGGAGAAGATATCCCCAAGTTTTAACTAGTACTCCAAACAAGAAGCAACCTTCGAGAATAACAGTAACAACAGAAGAATCCAAACATCACAAATAGCATTGAGAACTGTAATGAAAGGCTTTTTGTGTCGCTAAAGCATCACTTGGCAGGTCCCGCTGCAGCTGTTAACGTTTGGGGAACATTCTAAAAGGGCAGATGCACCAAAGTGTGGCAGTGCCCCTTTTCCTGGGGGCAGGACATCTTGTCTCAGTTATGGGCCTAAAAGAGCCACCTAGAAGCTCTCACCAAGGGGGCGGCCTTGGCTGTCTCAGGGTTAGTGGTATGAAGCGAGAAGCTGTCTCTTATATTTGAATCACAACTTGTCAAAATGCAAAGAATCAACTAGTTGAAGCTTCAGCTGAGATTTAATTTTTAAGAATTTTATATATATATAGCAAAAAATAAATATATTTATTTGGATACATTAAGTCAGAGCTCAAGATAATTTTCATAGAATTTTATAATTTTTTGCTTTCATGAATAGTTTGCTAAACAATTAATGATGCAAAGAAAAGGCGGTGCCTGGTCTCCAGCGTGCCCTCCCAAGCAGCATCTGGGGTCGGGGAGTACACGATGACCTCGAGGGATCTTTGCTGGAATTCCAGAACCAGTGGAATTCCAGAACTGGAATACCATTGCTAGTGGGTGCTCTAGCAATGCCGAAATAAGGCAAATACCCTCACCCCATCTCCCCAAACCACCTTACCCTTGTAATGAGGTCTCATTCCACGTTTTCCTGTTTTCCTTTTCTCGAATGCGACATTCATGTGTCCAGATTGGGTTGCCTTCACTCTAGTCCCCAGTGTCTTTCCTTTATTAGCAGTGTGTCCATATAAAAACAGAACTATTTGTGATTTGTTATCTCACAGACAACAAGAAGTGATTATCTTGTCTACAAGGTATTATGGTGTTATATAGATGAACAGGGCATATCCGGATCCTGACCTTCGTCCCCAAAGAGAACCCTTTAAAAATAAACGAGAAACCTTTTTTGCAAGGGGACTGTTTATTTGGCTTTGACTACTCTGGAAATCTAGATCTCGACTCAAATATATGGCCCATCTTGGCCAGGTATGTATATATTATTAGATATATTAATATATTATAATTACATGTATATATTTTTTAAATTATTATTATTTTGAGGAAGATTAGCTTTGAGCTGACATCTGCTGCCAATCCTCCTCTTTTTTGCTAGGAAGACTGGCCCTGAGCTAACATCCATGCCCATCTTCCTCTGCTTTATATGTGGGACGCCGACCACAGCATGGCTTACCAAATGGTGCCATGTCCACACCCAGGATCCGAACCTGAAAACCCCTGGCCGCCGAAGCAGAATGTGTGAACTTAACCGCTGTGCCACTGGGCCGAGCCTAAAATTATTTTATAATTATGTTTTATTTATATATTTATACATATTTATATATATTTTATAATTATAATATATTATAATATATAACTTATATTCTATATTAATGTATATTGATAAACATTAATATAATATATAATTATATAAATTATAATAATATAATTATATATTATTACTATATAGAGAGTAATAATTCCAGAGGGGTTTATTAAATTGAAACTTTATAAAAATCACAAACGATTTGTTGACAATGAAGTTACTCTCTGGAATTAGAACTATGTTGCATAGAAACATATAATTTGCTTTGTACTGTTTTTTCCCCAAAACAAATTAAAAGTTTTCTGATATCATTCTCCAGATCTTTCTAGTGAGTTCTTTTAAAATGGTTTAGAAAAGTCTTTTTGCTTTCCAAGCCTCAAATATGTAGTGAAAACCTTCTGGCTTTTTTTTGAGTGGAGGGTGAGAGCATCAATCAAGAGCATCTTAAATAGCCTCAAGCTGTGTTTGGACCAGACCACAGTTCTCTATAACAGACTCCTTCCTCTGCCTACCACAGTCTCAGGGACTTTTCCCATTCTCCACTTCTATTGTATTCTGGTTCTTGCTCTCTCCACCCCTTCGAATCTGATACCTCAGACTATCCCTTTCTCCCCAAGTTCACTATTGCCCAAGTCAGAGATTGTTTCCTTTTTCTGGTACCCCACTGCTAAGGGTCATAGTCCAATGTCCAAGTCCTAACCTCTGTACCCTAACCCAAGTCATACCGGATTCTCCACTTGAAAGAAAGGTATCCCCTTAAACTGTGTGTTAATGACCAGCATTTTACATGACTTTTGATAGTGTAAAGCAATGACTCAATATCTCATGGTGCTCTGGTCTGCGCAATTCTCAACTACTGTCCATAGCATTGAATCCTAGCCAATACTGTGAAATGGGTTTTCAAGAACCCTGAATGGGAGCATATGGACCACATCCCATCTAGCCAAAGGACCTCTGTATAGGGTCAAACAACATGTCATAAGTTTAGGACTAGAAGCTGCTCTCTCCCTATTCAGAGTTAGAGTTTTTCCAGTGTGTCCCAAAGAGCACTGGTTTCTTGCTCTTTTTGGCCTCTAGTCATTATAGTTGACTTCTTCAAGAGGGAGAGAAGTGTGTTTTATCTGCAAAGACCACTGTGTACACATGTGACAGGGTGCTAATTTATCCTGACCCAGCCCCCCCAACAGTCGTGATACCCACTGTTTCTTTGTATTTGTTTCTCTAGTCGTTTGGGGGATGCTGCTTAAATTCATCCAAGTCCACATTTACCCATCTACTATCCTCTATCCTCAGAATATTTACCTCATATTTGAAGAACATTTACATACCTTGACTTGTATCTGGTACATGTCCCTCCCCACAGGATTTGCGTACAATTCCATGTGCCACCTCATTCCATCCAAGCTATGGCTTCTGCTACTGCTGGTCTCCTACGTCCTCAGCACCGAGCTTCTGCACAGAAACTAGGACAAGAAGTCTGTTCTCTTAGTCCGCACTTAATGCTCATACTATCTAGCCTGTCCTTTGTTTTGTGCTAGGTTCTTGCTTCGCACCAACCGCCTTGAACTTGACCATCAAACTGTTTCTTGCTTCTGACATCTGACTGCACCCAGAACTTCATTCACCTTTGCTCTGTGCTCTACGGCCACGTTATACACTTAATGCTCTGGTTACGTACAATTACCTCTTTGCTTTGCATATGCCATTTCCTTTGCCTAGAATAATCCTTCTTTGACACTGCTTTCCTGGAGAATATGAGCATATACAAAATTTCCCTAATCGTCCCCCCCAACCCCTATTAAGTACTGACCTTTTGGGGCTATCTCTATACCTTGAAATTACTTCTATTGATTATCATAATATATAGACATTATTTATTTATATGTCTGTTTCTCCATTGTACTTGGATTTCTTTTTTTTTTTTTTTAAAGATTTTATTATTCCTTTTACTCCCCAGAGCCCCCCAGTACATAGTTGTATATTTTTAGTTGTGGGTCCTTCTAGTTGTGGCATGTGGGACACCGCCTCAGCATGGCTTGATGAGCAGTGCCATGTCCGCGCCCAGGATCCGAACCGGCAAAACACTGGGCCAAAGAAGCCAAGTGCACGAACTTAACCACTCAGCCCTGGGGCTGGCCCCTGTACTTGGATTTCTTGACATCAGGGCCTTTGTCATTTTTGATCCTCAATTTCTAGCATAGTGCTTAGAACATAATAGGCCCTCATTCATTCATTCATTCATTCTTTTTTTATTATTGAGGTAACATTGGTTCATAATATTATATAAATTTCAGACGTACATCATTTATATTTCAGTTCTGAGTAGATTATATCATGTTCACTACCCAAAGACTAATTACCATCCATCACCATACACATGTGCCCAATCACCCCTTTCACTCTCCTCTCTCCCCGCTTCCCCTCTGGTAACCACCACTAATCTCTGTATCTGTATGTTTGTTTGTTGCTGTTATTTTTATCTTCTATTTATGAGTGAGATCATATGGCATTTTACTTTCTCTCTCTGACATATTTCACTTAGCAAACTACCCTGAAGCTCCATCCATGTTGTTGCAAACTGCAAGACTTCGTCTTTTTTTATGACTGAGTAGTATTCTATCGTGTATATATACCACATCTTCTTTATCCATTTGTCCCTTGACCGGCACTTCAGTTGTTTCCCAGTCTTGGCTATTGTGAATAATGCCACAATGAAAATACGGGTGCATCTATCTTTATGCATTTGTGTTTTCACGTTCTTTGGATAAATACCCATCAGTGGAATAGCTGGATCGTATGGTAGTTCTACTCTTAATTTTTTGAGGAACCTCCATGCTGTTTTCCATAGTGACTGCACGAGTTTGCATTCCCACCAGCAGTGTATGAGAGTTCCCTTTTCTCCACATCCTCTCCAGTACTTGTTATTTCTTGTCTTGTCAATTATAACCATTCTGGTTGGCGTGAGGTGATATCTCATTGTAGTTTTGCTTTGTATTTCCATAATAATTAGTGGTGTTGAACACCTTTTCATGTGCCTGTTGGCCATCTGTATATATTCTTTGGAAAAATGTCTGTTCTGATCTTTTGCCCATTTTTTAATTGGGTTAATTGTTTTTTTGTTGTTGAGATGCATGAATTCTTTATATATTTTGGATATTAACCCCTTATCAGATATATGGTTTGCAAATTTCTTCTCCCAATTGTTTAGTTGTCTTCTCATTTTGTTGATGGTTTCCCCTTTGCTGTTCAGAAGCTTTTTATTTTGATGTAGTCCCATTTGTTTATTTTTTCTGTTGTTTCCCTTGCCTAGTCAGACATCGTACTTGAAAATAAGCTGCCAAGACTGATGTCAAAGGGTGCACTACCTATGTTTTCTTCTAGAATTTTTATGGTTTCAGGTCTTACATTCAAGTCTTTAATCCATTTTGAGTTAATTTTTGTGTATGGTGTAAGATAATGGTCTGCTTTCATTCTTTTGCATGTGGCTATCTGGTTTTCCCAACACCATTTATTGAAGAGATTCTCCTTTCTCTATTGCATGTTCTTGGCTCCCATGTCAGAAAATTAGCTGTCCACACATGTGTGGGTTTATTTCTGGGCTGTTCATTTTGTTTCACTGATCTGTGTTGCCTGTTTTTTGCCAGTACCATGCTGTTTTGATTACTATAGCTTTGTAGCATATTTTGAAATCAAAGAGTGTGATGTCTCCAGCTTTGTTCTTTTTTCTCAGGTTTTCTTTTGTCATTCAGGTCTTTTGTTGTTCCATATAAATTTTAGGATCCTTTGTTCTATTTCTGTGAAAAATGTTGTTGGAACTTTGATAGGGATTGCACTGAATCTGTAGACTGCTTTAGGAAGTATGCACATTTTAACTATGTTAATTCTTCCAATCCAAGAACACGAAATACGTTTACATTTCTTTGTGTCTTTTTCAATTTCTTTCAACAACGTTTTATAGTTTTGGGTGTACAGGTCTTTCACCTCTGTGGTTAAATTTACTCCCAGGTATTTTATGCTTCTTGCTGCAATTGTAAATGGGATTGTATTCTTAATTTATCTTTCTGCTACTTTGTTGTTAGTGTATAGAAATGCAACTGATTTTGGTATGTTGATTTTTGTATCCTGCAACTTTATCATATTCATTTACTATTTCTAAAAGTTTTTTGGTGGAATCTTTAGGATTTTCTATATATAAAATCATGTCATCTGCAAATAGTGACAGTTTCACTTCTTCCTTTCCAATTTGGATCCCTTTTATTTCTTTTTCTTGCCTGATTGCTCTGGCTAAGACTTCCAGTACTATGTTAAGTAAGAGTGGTGAAAATGGGCTTCCTTGTCTGGTTCCTGTTTTTAGAGGGATAGCTTTTGGTTTTTCTCCATTCAGAATGAGATTAGCTGTGGGTTTGTCATATATGGCCTTTATTATGTTGAGGTACTTTCCTTCTATATCCATTTTATTCAGAGGTTTTATCATAAATGGATGCTGCATCTTGTCAGATGCTTTCTCTGCATCTACTGAGATGATCATGTGATTTTTATTCTTCATTTTGTTAATGTGAGGTATCATGTTGATTGATTTGCAGATGTTGAACCATCCCTGCATCCCTGAAGTAAATCCCACTTGATTATGATGTATGATATTTTTAATGTATTGTTGTATTTCCATTTGCTACTGTTTTGTTGAGGATTTTTCCATCAATGTTCATCAGTGATATTGGCCTGTAATTTTCTTTTTTTCTGTTGTCCTTGTCTGGTGTTGGTATCAGGGTAATGTTGACTTCATAGAATGAGTTAGGAAGCTTCTTCTCCTCTTCACTTTTTTGGAAGATTTTGAGAAGGATAGGTATTAAGTCTTCTTTGAAGGCTTGGTAGAATTCACCAGGAAAGCCATCAGGTCCTGAACTTATTTTGGGGGAGGTTTTTGAATTCTGTTTTGATCTCCTTACTGGTGATTGATCTATTCAAATTCTCTATTTCTTCTTGATTCAATTTTGGAAGGTTATATGATTCTAAGAATTTATCTATTTCTTCTAGATTATCCAATTTGTTTGTGTACACCTTTTTGTAGTGTTCTCTTATAATGTTTTGTATTTCTGGGGTGTCCATTGTAATTTCTCCTCTTTCATTTCTGATTTTCTTTATTTGAGCCACCTTTCTTTTTTTCTTGGTGAGTCTGTCTAAAGGTTTGTCAATTTTGTTTATCTTTTCAAAGAACCAGCTCTTAGTTTCACTGATTTTTTCTATTGTGTTTTTAGCCTCTATTTCATTTATTTCTGCTCTAATTTTTATTATTACCTTCTTTCTACTGACTTTGGGTTTCATTTGTTCGTCTTTTTCCAGTTCCATTAGGAACACTGTTAGATTGTTTATTTGAGATTTTTCTTGTTTGTTGAGGTAGGCTTGTATTGCTATAAACTTCCCTCTTTTTTTTTTTGAGGAAGATTAGCCCTGAGCTAACATCTGCTGCCAATCCTCCTCTTTTTGCTGAGGAAGCCTGGCCCTGAGCTAAAATCCGTGTCCATCTTCCGCTACTTTATATGTGGGACGCCTGCCACAGCATGGCTTGCCAAGTGGTGCCATGTCCACACCTGGGATCTGAACTGGCAAACCCTGGGCTACCAAAGCAGAACGTGCAAGCTTAACCACTGTGCCACCAGGCTGGCCCCTAAACTTTCCTCTTTGAACCACTTTTGTTGTATCCCATAAATTTTGGCAGGTTGTAGTTTCATTTTCATTTGTCTTCCAGGCATTTTTTGATTTCTCCTTTGATTTCTTTGTTGACCCAATAGTTGCTAAGTAGCATTTTGCTTAATCTCCACATATTTGTGGCTTTTCCAGTTTTCTTCCTATAGTCGATTCCTAGTTTCATACCACTGTAGTCAGAAAAGATACTTGATATTATTTCAGGCTTCTTAAATTTATTGAGACTTGTTTTGTGGCCTAATATGTGATTTATCCTGGAGAATGTTCCAGGTGCATTCAAAAAGAACGTGTATTCTGCAGTTTATGGATGGAATGTTCTCTATATATCTACTAAGTCCATCTGGTCTAATGTGTCATTTAAGGCCAATGTTTCCTTATTGATCTTCTGTTTGGATGATCTACCTATCGATGTAAGTCGAGCGTTAAGGCCCGCTACTATTATTGTGTCACTGTCTATTTCTCCTTTTATAATTGCTTTATATATTTAGGTGCTCCTATGTTGAGTGCATAGATATTTAAAGTGTTATATCCTCTTATTGGAATGTCCCCTTTATATTTATGTAGTGCCCTTCTTTCTTGTTACAGTTTTTATTTTAAAGTCTATTTTGTCTGATATAAGTATCTACCCCAACTTTCTTTTCTTTGTCATTTACATGGCGTATCTTTTTCCATCCCTTCACTTTCAGTTTGTGAGTGTCATCAGGTCTGAAGTGTGTCTCTTGTATGCAGCATATACATGGGTCTTGTTTTTTTTTTATCC